ATTGACATGTGACCTCTCTTAACAGAAAACCGGAAGTCCATAATGTTTTTCTTAAATAAAGTTTACGAGTGCATATTTTCAACACTCCTCCTCACTCGTATAACTATATGTTCACATGTTATAGTCCATTTAACTAACTCCAAGCATCTTTCTAAGTTTGATAAACTGAATCGCACCGAGTCCTTTAGTAAAAATGTCAGCGACCATTTCTTCAGTGCTGCAGTATTCTAATTTAACTGCAGTATTGGCAACATGTTCACGAATGAAATGATACTTTATATCAATATGTTTTGCACGACCATGGTACTGTGCATTCTTTGCCATGCAGATTGCTGCTTGATTGTCTTCAAGTATCAACGTTGGACCAGTTGGTTTGCTCTTGAGATCACTTAGAAGTTGTCTAAGCCAAACTGCTTCTTGAGTTGCACTTGCCAATGCTATGTATTCTGCTTCGGCAGTCGAGAGAGCCACACACGACTGTTTCTTGCTTCGCCAACTGACAGCTGCGTTGCTAATTTGAAAGACATAACCGGACGTCGACTTTCTATCATCAAGATCTCCAGCCCAATCAGCGTCGGAATATCCAACACACGAAGTTGTCTTGCTTCCATCATAGAGTAGACCCAAATCTCGAGTTCCATTCAGGTAACGCATGATACGCTTAACTGCTGCCCAGTGCTCCTCCGTTGGATCTGCACTGAATCTCGCTACATCACTCACAGCATATGCGATATCAGGTCTTGTCTTCGTGGACAGATAAAGTAGATGCCCAACAGCACACTGGTAGTTGACTTGGTCGACTCGTGGACTGTCGTCTGCTGCCTTCTTCAGTTTTGTCCTAGGGTTAACAGGTGTGTTCACTGGTTTCGAACACTCCATGCTTCTAACACATTCTTTGTGTACGCTTCTTGACCAATCCAAACCTCTTTTAAATCTGGTTTCTGAACAACTTTGACACCCAGGAAATAGTGTAATTTTCCCATATCTTTCATTTGAAATAGTTTAGCGAGTGCTTGCTTCACTTCGTTGATTTTCTGATCATTCTTTCCGGCCAGAATCATATCATCAACGTACACAGCGATAATAAATATATCTCCGTCTTCTTCCTTTACGTAGATACATGGATCGCTGATGGTTTGCACAAAGCCCATACTCTTCAGTTTCCGGTCAAGAACGGAGTTCCAGCAACGTGGAGACTGTTTAAGACCGTAGATGCTTCGACGTAACCTGCAGACTAGGTGCTCTTTCCCTTTCTCAACGAAACCTTCAGGTTGTTTCATGTAGACTTCTTCTTTGAGATCTCCATTTAGAAACGCCGTTGTAACATCCATTTGATGAAGCTTTAAACTGTGCTGTGCAGCTAAAGCGATAACTGTTCGAACTGATTCAAACCTAGCTACAGGTGAAAATGTTTCATCATAGTCATCGCCAAAGGTTTGACTAAAACCTTGAGCTACGAGTCGAGCTTTGTGTGTTTCAACTATTCCATTCGCATCGGTTTTGACTCGAAATACCCACTTACTGCCAACCGCTTTACGATTCTCGGGTAGTTCAACTAAATCCCACACTTCGTTAGTTTTAAGTGATTCCATTTCTTTTTCCATTGCTTTTACCCACTTCGCCTTTTGTGGACTTGTCAAAGCCTCTTTCACAGTTCCTGGCTCGTTTTGATCATAATTTGCAGCTGTTGCCCACTCCCCATAGTAGGCAGGTGGCCTTCGATCTCTTTCTGATCTCCTTGAACTTTGAGGCTCAGGCATTTCGTTTACGACAGGCTCTTCATCAGCAATGGGTGCTTCAAACTCGGGAAAATCAAGTTCCACATACGTGTTTTGATTTGGCTCTTGTTTTTTCACAACTTCAGTTCCTTGTGACGATTCGTTGAACTTAACATCACGACTGTGAAAAACTCTAGCACGTTTTGGATCATAAAGACGATAACCCTTCGTTTCTGCGCCATAACCAAGGAGAATACACTTTCTAGTTTTCGATTCGAGTTTCTTTCTCTCGTCCTTTGGCACATGAGCATATGCTTCGCAGCCAAATACTCGTAGATGTTTCACATTGGGTTTCTGACCTGTCCAGGCTTCGAAAGGAGTCTTTCCTTTGACTGCAACAGTGGGACTTCTGTTTCTAAGATAAACAGCGGTTGAGAGCGTTTCAGCCCAGAACTTGTGCGGGAGTTTAGCATCAGCTAACATGGATCTTACAGATTCTACCAAAGTCCGGTTCATCCTCTCAGCCACTCCATTTTGTTCCGGGTTTTTCGGCACAGTCAATTTGTGCGTTATTCCTTCTTTCTTCAGATAATTTTCAAACTCTGTTGAGGTGTATTCTCCCCCGTTGTCAGTGCGAAATACTTTAACCTTTTTGTCAGAGGATTTTTCGACTGCGGCTTTCCACTCTAAAAACTTTGAAAAAACTTCATCTTTATGTTTCAAGACGTAAATCCATACATAGTGAGTGTGATCATCAATAAATGTCAGAAAGTACTCAGTTCCACTAAGCGATTTTGTACTCATTTTCCCACATACATCACTGTGTACTAAATTAAGGGGTTCTTTTGCACGTCCACCCTCGTTGACTGGGAATTTGCTTCGATGATGCTTTCCCTCGGTACAAGATTCACAGAAATCAATGTCCTTCGACTTGTCATAGTCATAACCATCAACAAGATTTTCTTTTGCCAACTTTTTGAGATTTTGTACACCAAGATGTCCAAATCTTTTGTGCCAGGTAACCTCTTTGCTTCTCACATTTGAATTTTCCACAGTAGGATTTGCATGATGACTGTTCACACAATTCAGGTAATAAAGGTTTCCTACTCTTTTTGCAACAGCAATCAGCTTTTGATTTTCATCAAGAATATGACAACCATCTTCATTAAACTTAACCGTCTTTCCAGATTTTGTAGCTCTAGACACACTCACTAGGTTGTACGATAAGCTTGGAACATACAGGACATCTTGTAGTACACAACTTTTTCCCTTTTCCCTGTTTGGAGACTCTATCTCTGTTTTCACAATGCCTCGTCCAGTTGCCTTCACAACATGTCCATCTCCCAGAGCAACTTCTTCGGGTTCATCTAAGTTTTCCAATTTAAACAAATAGACTGACATCATTGCACATATGACAAGTTGCTCCAGAATCAATTATCCATGCATTTGTTCGGCCATTTAATGAATTCAATGCATGATTCACCATCAATCCCACTTCATCACTATCTGAGCGGCTGTCGATTTGTCTAGATTCAGCTGCATTATTTGCCTTATGCTCGTTAAAATCTCCTTTGTGACCATCATGTTTTGGAGTGTTCAGTTCTTGACAGTTTCGTTTAATGTGTCCAAACTTTCCACAATGGTAACATTTTGGACCCTTGCCTTTTGGCTGTCTATTTGCAAGTATAGCTTTCATTCCATCACTTGCCTCAGACTCACTTCTCTCCTTTAGTTTTCGCTCTTCGTGTAACAAACGTTCAGTCACAGTTTCCATTTTGGGAACCTCAACATTTGCCTCCAAGGCCGTCACTAATATATCGTATGACTCAGGTAAACTCGCTAACAAATGAACAACTCGATCCTCTTCTGTTATTGGGTCATCGATGACTGCTAATCTATCAAATATCTCAGTCATTTCTTTGATGTGCTTCTGAACAGATTCACCGTCTTTCAACCGCAATGAGTAGAGTTTACGACGCAGTGCCAACTTATTTGCCCACGTTTTCTTTGGAATTGGTTTGCTAATTTTTCCCAAACCACAGCAGGGTCTTGTGGATCCCCAAGGAGGTATAACAGCGACGGATCGACAGACAAAACAATGGTTGCCAACGCACGATCTCTTCTCGCAATAAATTTTGCTAAATCTTCCGGTTTATCTGTACCTGGCGACACTTCAATCTTAGACACAATTCCCCACACACCGTCCCTCATAAGTGCCATTCGACATTGCACTTTCCAAGTGGGGTAATTCTTTCCATTCAATGGGATTATACTCGCCGTTTTAACATCCAAACCTGACGCCATTACAAAACCAATTTCGATTACAAAAGCTTTGTTTTACCTTCTTATTTTGCTTCGTTGTTCACCTCCTACATATACGTCCCTGGGCCCATAACCTTTTGAAATAGTTTTATTTTAAAAGTATAAAGAGGAAGATAAATATCAATACTATCAACGACTCAAAGTTTAACTGTTCAGCCTTTCAAAAAACATACAAGCATGGCCCCATTGACATGTGACCTCTCTTAACAGAAAACCGGAAGTCCATAATGTTTTTCTTAAATAAAGTTTACGAGTGCATATTTTCAACAACTTTTCGTCTATTAATCGAAAAATCAACTTGTAAATAATTCACCGGAGTACTTCACCCCTACACCCCATTCTCCCACAAATTTTGCCTGTGTGTCTTTATTCCATGCATTCCTAAGTCGAGAAGCAATTGAAACATTAACTTTCTAAATAAAGCTCGTGATTTTTATCAGTGATTATTATTAAAGATATCAAAGGCCACTGTCGATATATTTAGCCAAACATTAAACTAAAATAGTAAATACAACTTAGTAGTACTCGTTCTAGATAGCATCAAATTTTATACGGCAAACATGAAACACATGCATACGGCAAAGTTTAATTTACTGCTTTGTCAAACACACCATACGTTTTTTGTCCACAGTATTCTGGATTCTCGGCTACAAACAACAGATCTACAGTTGTCACGAGCAGGTCTCCATAAAAAAAAACATTCATCAGCTTAACAAAACGAAACCAACCGATTACCGATGGTAAAACGCCATAGATCTGATAAATGATCTAATTTTGAGCTTACGGGTTACAAAGAAAATGTTCAGGATAATTGCCTCAGCGACAAACCACCCCCGACCTCCAATTGGGAGGGACCCGTCAGTTAACTCACAGGAACCCGAACGCCTTTGCCGTACAATGACGTAATTTGGTATCAATGGGGCCGTCCCGGATCAAATAACCAAAGGGAAATCCCCAACTACTTTGAGTGTTCCCATTTTATAGTGCAAATTCGTCGATTTCTCTCAAATTTTCAGCAATCATTCGAAACGTTTTCGTCAAAAGTTTAAGAATCTTGGGTTATATAATTCTATGGACATCCTGGTTGTCTAAATTAAAGCTTTTTATTCAAAATCAAGGTTTGTATTTGTATATTGTTGTTATTTGTGCTCGTTTATTTTCGTTTCGTCTTAATCAGTTAATCGTGATCATTCACTTAATTCCAAACTATATGCAAATATCTTCTATCGTTGCCAACACTCAATATACATAAACACATCAGTAATTCAACTGATCAACTTTATTATTCATGAGTTCATGGTACATGAATAAGCAGTACGTTAACGTATACTTAATAGGGACTAGGGACCATGAATTAAGTCTGTTGACGTTATTAACAACTGTTAACCGCTAACAAACTCTTTGTGTTTAAATTTCGCACAATCTTAAACGTTCTAGATTAATTTATTAGTGATTTTTATCAAACAGAACGACCGGTAGGCGTTAATTTACTCGGGCTTAATAAATACACTGCGTTGAAACTGAACTATATTGATACACTGTAAATTTGCGACTGTCCGCACGGAAGACTAGAAACCGAGTCGGCTACACAGATAGCCCGAGTAATTAAAGGGCATTGCTGATGTATTTAGCCAAACAGTAAACTAAATACAATTACATTCTCATTCACTATGTTCAAACGAATGTATGTCATTTTGCCACTTAATGACAATAAAGAAAATAGCAGATAAAACGACATGGGAGTATCGGAAGCAACCAACATTTTATTGCGTTGATTAAAAATGATAGTTTTGTATACGTAACATTTCGGTTACAACAGACATTATAATCATAAATTCCTCGACACATGCACTTAAGGCCCTGTTACACGGTGCAATTTTTCTTGCAACTTGCAATACAATTCTAGTTTTGAGAGATGTAAATTTGGCGACTACGAAATTTTATGTTTATTACACTCCATGTACGTTTCTTACACTTACATTTTGAATACTTGAATTTTGAATGCATTAATTTACATCTTTAAAAGTAGGATTGCATTGCAAGGTGCAGGAAAAATTGCACTATGTAACATGGTCTTTAGTCTATCTTCTTCCGTCAGCTGTGTAGTCCGTAAATTGATGGATCATAATTACCAAATTGTTTCTTTAAATATTTCTCGGCACCTGGTGCACTGAAAGCTTTCCATTTTGTAAAGTAAGATACTGACTTTGTGTTCATGGGAATTCCCATGCAGTTGTCTGAACAACAGTGAACTCTTGAAAGGACTCACATGGCCAGCTGTAAGATACCTTTCTAAAATGGAAACTGAATAGTTTTTAAAACTGGTTCTTGCTATATAAACAAAGTTCCCTTCTCTGTAAATATCTGTCTCACTGCGTGGAATTAAGATCTTAAAACATTTGTCTGAGATGTTAATGTGATTACAATACGCTTCCCCAGACGCAACAGCCCTAAAATTCTATTTTTAGATTTTTGTAACTTTGGACTTTGTATTTTTAGGTTTTTGCATTTTCAGATTTTTGTATTTTCAGACTTTTGCATTTTTAATTTTTTATAACAAACATGCTTTGACTTCACTAAAAGCCATCTTCAGTGCGAATATATTATTTCTTAACTAAATAACACAATACCTGAATGACTTACCATGACGTTCATAAAGACGTTTTATAATGACATAATTTTGTTTCAAATTAAAACTAATATATCTAAGTTTGGAAATCCAATATCTTAGAAATTGCTGATCTATAAACACAGTAGAAGCAGAAACGAAATTACCTTAAGCTCAGACGCCATTATTGTCACGATAGTGTTACACGACCCCTATTCTTTGTATCTTTCAGCGGAATCGTCGGGGCCGTAAGGGGGAATAACCCATTAACGTATACTAGATTAGAACCACAACAACAACTTCTTCGTTTTATAGAAATGTATTAAAAGCTGTGCCTCCGGCTCGTGCTGTTGCCTCTCACACTAACTGCAACTAATATGACTAATCACTATTCACCGCTTCCTAGTGTCAAGTGTCTAACAATTAAGCATTGTTCATTGTTCCACAATGTTTCAGTGTTCCACAATGTTTTATTGTTTAGTTGTGCAACGCCCGTGCATATACAATATATCTCAGTCATATTGCTTATATAACAATAGTATACATCTCATTTTATTTTCCAACTTTTATTTTCAAACTTTTCTTTTCAAACTTTTGTTTTCAAACTTTTGTTTTCAAACTTTTATTTTCAAACTTTTGTTTTCAAATTTTTATTTTTAAAACTTTACGCAAAAACTAGGCTAATCAGATTTTCTCTGCTGAATTTAAGTCATTTGTTTATTTTCTCACTTTTTCGCTGAGCCTGTTGCAGGCTACACAAAAAAAGGTTTTTCCAGTCAAAATTTAGAAATATATAAATGATTTTGAAATTTTGAAAGCAGAAAACCTGACTAGCCTCGTTCTCGCGTAACTCGGTCTATGGGGTCCCAATAAACTCGCTATTTTAACAAATAATTCCTGCGTAATCGTCCACCTCGATGATACGACTAATGTAGTCAGCTTTTTCATTCTCATTTCTGGGGATCCATTGAATTTCTAGTTTAATGCAATTTGCCAAACATGGATGAAAGATTTTTAAAGCAAGGCGCTGCAAATTTAACTTCATAGTACACCAATTTCGACTACCTTTGCCGCAAGAGTAATTAATGGTTGAATAGTTTCTGTAATCTTATCAATACGACGCTCGCTTATTTCTATTTTGCCGTCTTCGCTGTACCAAACTAAGCCTATTATACACTGGCGGTGAAAAAGAACCGCTCAAAACAAGTTAAAGTGCTCTCAAATGAACGTAACAGTCCCTCTAACAAAATATACGAGTATATATAGACTAGATTATATGCTAAGCTATATTAAATATTAACTTTTTGGTGACCCTTCTTTGATAACGGCCTTACATTGGCGTGGCATACTTTCTGTTAAGGTGGTAATCTTCACGGTCAAAAGAAATTCATCCTATGGACAGTCTTTACAGCAACGAATAAATAATGGACGCTTTATGAATGAATTCCTTTCTTGCACTATCTCCTTGACATTGTCCCATAGATTTTCAATAGGGTTAAGCCGGTATTTTGACTGTACAGGCCAATCCATTTCTGTCACTCCCTCTTCCTGAAACCATTGTTTGACTATATCTTGGAAGTGTGGCAGGTTGCATTACATTATTGAAATATTGCTTGGAATAAGAGAATTATCCAAAATGCCTATGAAGCTCTCTCCTATATGTTCGCTTCTTTTTTATGAATTTGTATCTAAACAGTTCTTTTTGACCGTTAGTGTGCAATAAAAGATTGGTTGTCACGATTCCTGTTACATACGATAATAGCAACATTTGAGCAGTTCTTTTTGACCGCCAGTGTGTAACCAAGAAGATTTGCAACAAAACCTGCGTTATCGAGGTCTCTCTTCACTATATTAATATCTGATTTGCATTAATATTACTATCTGATTTGTTTAAATCAGTCCCCGATTCACCTAGCCGTCGTTTAAAAATAACGCAAGGCAAATGCCTTGGTATCTCCATTGTTTTTGGAGCGGTTTCAATGATTTAGTAATATATCTATATGGCGCCGTGAAAAGCCAAAATGTTAGTACAGTAAACTTATAGTACTTTGTTTTTTTTGTTGCCGAAATTCCACGCAAAACCTGAATACGTTTGGTGTTCCGGATCAATCTGTTTGTGATGGTATCAACTTTTAATTTAAGTCAAAAGTAAACATAATTATATGGGCCTGGTGAAAAGTGTATGACATTGCGACTTTCCAATCCTCAAACTTCAGCGTATTTCGTGCTTGATTATTTCGGCTCATTTTAGGTTTCATCACAATGCCCAGGAAAGACATACTAGATTCCGCTTATTTATAAAACAACGTATTAGATGCCTTGTGATTTATTAACAGAGCTAGCAAGGGTATTATTTCAAAACACACAACTTCGTACCCCCATATATTATCCCATTATGATAGCAATAGTTGATTTAACACAAATTAAACAATGTCCTGAAATAAAATAAACAGAAATATTTCCATTGCTTCGCGTAGGATGCATTAGGCGTACAAGAATTAACTTTACAAAACCATGCTAATCATAACAAACATAATATGCTATAATAGTCGCGAATATTATAATATGCATCGCAAACTTCAATATGAGTACGGTGACATCTGATGCGCTCGACACTAACTTCTTTACTGCCAATTAATAAAAACGAATTAGAGACGGATTTGAAGGGGTGTCTTTTACATATTTTCCAACCTCGTACCCAGGGTCTTTTCTCTGTTTTCACTCTGGGGGGAACACCCGCTGAAAAAAGACCTTGGTATTTTCTGGTCACGTGTATCTCATTAAATTTTGCTGCCTAGGGGAGGGGGTCGCCAAGGGGGGTTGGTTTCACATGTGCGTTGTCGCCATGTTGAAAAACTCGAAGTGCGGGCTTTTCCTTTGTGTTTTTGGAATTTGCAATACAAAAGAGCTTGTATAACAATATAATTTTAAAGCCAAAACAGGTGCTTTGTTTAGAAAAGATATTTCTGAAGTTAGATATTCTTGCTGTTTTACCAACTGGATATGGTAAATCATTGGTTTTTACTTGCTTCCTGCACTGTTGTTTGTGGCAAAGAACGGCGTCGCTAAATGCACCGAACATATTGACGCTAAAGTTCTCGTTGTATCGCCTTTAAACGCTTCTCAGCGGGTGTTCCCCTCAGAGTGAGCACAGAGAAAAGACCCTGGGTACGAGGTTGCATATTTTCTTGGACGCTCTTGTTTGACCTCTGTAAGAACGCGACCGGCCCCTCGGGGGATCTGACCAACCTTAATTTTGTTCCCAAATGAATTAAGATAGCGTAATTAAATCACAAAGTTGGTTATTAGCGTTTTAATTAGCGTTCGCCGTAAAAAGCAATATTAAGGTCTCCAATGGACGAGTTGCGCTTTAGACTAATTTCTTACATCGACATTAAAAAAGACGTTTTCTGAAAGAGCTTACTAAAATTAGTAAAACTGCCAAGTTTGGCTGTGAGTCGTTATGAATTACGGAAAATATAGCCATGCGAAGTTGACGAATTTTGTATACTTTTGCATTACGGCCGGAATTTTGTAATTAAATTACACATTTCCGCACGTAATACAAAAGTATACAAAATATGCCAACTTCGCATGGCTATATTTTCCGTATTTTACAAAATTTCGCAGCATTTGCACTAATTTAAGTAAGATCTTTCTAGCTGTGGTGATTTATTTCCTTCTAGTTACTTCCATCAAAATTTAGTCAGAGCGCAAGTCGTCCATGATAATTATTAAATATAATTTAATAATTCCTCCCCTTTCAGTTTTAACGTAGTGCGCAATCAGAATATGAAAAGAAAATCATAAACATTCTAAAGCAGGAAAGTTAAGAAATAAAAAATGTTAAAGACCGGCAGGTTCGAATAGAAAAAAATAATTTAAGTAAAAAGTAATAATTATTGCGATTATGCTACTATGAGTTACCCACCGGGCAAGCTGAATACGTTGCATATATTTTTGTGGCTAACGTACTGGTTATTATTTCAAGTTCAATGCATGAAAAAATTGCAGCTGTAAAAGAGCTCTTTCGTTAAAACAGTATTATTTTTGGTGAGTGACTATGGCCTCTACAAGTGGTATAGGTGGCGATAACTCGAACAAGCATCAACACTAGCTATCACTTTAAGACCTGCAGATATGGAAGAAACTAGAGTTAGTTCTAAATATCAGCTAACAGCTCCATTGGTAGAGCAGTGTACTATAACAAACTAAAGGTCGCGGGTTCAATTCCCACCGTAGTCAATCTAATTTTCAGGAGCACCATTATAAATTATATGAATTCATTCACCACCTGACGTCATATCTTGGAATAAACACAGCCTGTGATATAAACTGAAATTAAGGCGGCGTTACACTATGCAACTTTCCTTGCAACTTGCAATGCAATTCTACTCCTGAGGCATCTAAAGTTGTCAAATACGAACATTTCTTACGATCTGCTAGCGCTTTCTTAGCATTTCGAACACTTTTTACAAATTAACATCCCTCATAATTATAGCTAATTACATTGCATACTGTAACAGCGCCTGTACACTTAATAAGCACTTTCAAGAGATGAAAATCTTTTGAAATATATTTATAACAATTAGTTCAAATATTCTAGTTTTTTTTTCCAGCCTAAGCGCTCTGCTGCCATTCTTTATAAGTATATTAGAAATGCATGCACGAGGCATGCGCACTCCTCGCCATTTCCTACGAAGAAAATAATCCCCCAGCCAAGCCACACCTAAATTGCAGTACGTGCAATATTTCTATCACTTCATACAAAATATAGTCACGACTCATAACATTGATAACTCAAGTTAACGTCATCTGTTGGCACGCAGGTAACTGATAATATTTGATGCTTCAGGAAACCATCAAGACAGTACAAAATCTTCAATTACTGAACATCAACTCTTTTTGAATATTTATGCTGAAGACTCAATACCTTCATTTTGAATGTGGCTATCAAAAATGGTTTTTGATGTTTAATCTTGAAGTGCAAGTGAAGTGCAACCCTTTTTAGTTTCTTTTTAGTTTTGCTGAATGTTTTCTGATGACTTTCTTTGAATCTGTCATTATAATGCGGTCTCATTTTTTCGGTGTGATGTTTTTTAAGAGTTTTGCGGTTAAATTGTTAACACTACTGTTGAAAAATACAAATTTCTGTCTCGACCCATTAGTAGGTTAATTGCTCATTGCGAGTTTCCACTAGATTAAATTTTGGGCATGCGCATACCTAACGAAACTATCCAAATCCATGACATAGAATTTGGAGAACTTTGGGTTCCGCTATGTTCTCTCACAATACCCAGGTGTAATCAATCTCCTAGCGGAATTAGTACCCTCGTCAGTACCAATAAAAAGAACAAACACTGCGAATTTCAGCGTTTTACGTCAATCTTTCCTATAGAAATCACAAGCATAACAATCTTGTTAAAATTAATAATCTTGTCTGTTCTATAGGTGCCAAACTACCGGGAATTTAAATATCTTCTCGACGCAAAGCCTCTATAACTGCAATTCCTCATACCATTTTTCATTATTGTTAGAAAAAACAAGCTGGCTAAATATTTGTCTCTGTATTCTAGTTTTGAGTAGAACCAAATAATAATGAAGTACGCTGTTTTCCACGCAAATTCACCCGTCATTTTCAAGCTAGCGGGATGTGTTTTTTTTTTAGCATGCTATAGACCTAGGGTTTCCTGGTAGACGGCTTCTTGTTTCATTTCTAAATATTGCTATGAATTCGTAGGAAGAAGAATGTCGGGAATACCGTGGGAGAGCGAGGAAAGTCAAAACTACACTCGAGCAGATTATATTGTTACAAATGCTGTTAGAAAAGAGTTGAGGAATTTCTTTATCAAGAAATGGAACATACGTTACCAGGCTTCTCTTGGAGCATGGGATGAAACCAACGCGAGTGGCAGTCAATTGTTTAATCTGGAGAAAACACGAGCAAGGCCAAATAAGACGACGCTCCAGTCCAAATTTCAAAATGGAGATTCAAATGAGTGGGATTGCACTGTACTTTTTGATGCAATTCTTTATTCCAACTCAATTGGCGCTTGTCTTACTACAGCGGAAAAGACAGAAATCGATAATCTAAGAAAGCTACGAAATAAATTAACTCATGACTTCCCTGAAAAGAAGATCAATGAAACTGACTTTCAAGCAGTGACAACAGACGCTGAAAATGCGTTGACCGCATTAGGATTGTCAACAAATGAAGTTGTTCGAATAAAGGACCTTTTTGCGTCCTTTGAGGTTCTTCCTGCAAAGCCAACTCATGAAGTAGTTTCTCGTTCTGACCTGATATACAAATTGAAACATGACCTTGAAAGATTGCGCAGCGATAATGATGGTAAACTGACATATTTCTATATCTCTGGGAATCCTGGAAGTGGAAAATCTCAAATCTCCAGACAGGTTTGTGAAGTTATATTCGAAGAAGTAAATGCAATGTTTGTGATGACACTCAACGGAAAAGATTTAGATTCACTATTTTCTTCCTATGAAGAATTTTGTCGGAAGTTAAATTGTATCGAGAGTGCTTTACAAAGTGTTTCAAGTTCGTCTAAAACAATAGAAGAAAAAATCAAAGATTTAAGATCACAAATATGTTGCAGAATTAAGAATTGGAAGAAGTGGTGGATCATCGTAGACAATGTGGAAAACGCAGAGCTTATATCTCCTCTACTGCCTCAGAGAGGAGACAAAGGTTGGAATAACGGCCAAATTATTTTGACAACACAAAACACAGACGCTGTACCTGAAGACAGTTTGTCAACTAAGCATATTTCACTTAATCTCGGTATGAATGAGCCAGAATGTCGCCAGCTGCTTGTCCTGTTATCTGGTATTGAAGTAAATGATCCATTACTAGATGAGGTGGCAGAGAGGTTAGATCGTCAACCTCTGGCCATGGCTGCGGCAGCTGTGTATATGAGACAAGTAATCAAGAGCTGCCCAAATTTTTCGTGGCGAGAATATTTGGGAAAGCTTGAGAAAGGTAAAAGAGGATTAACGGAAGAACGTCTTCGGCAGATGAACTCAGCAGCATATTCCTCCACCATGTCTACAGCAGTGCTTTTAGCTGTTGCAAAATGTGCAGAAAATAACACATTTCTTAAACATGCATTCAACCTTTTCTCTTTGATATCGTTTGAACCTTTCCCACTTGATCTTGTTGTAAAATATATTCAGCAGCAAGAAAATGAGCTCGATGCTGAGGATATAATTTCTTCAATAAAACTCTGCTCATTGTTTGTACTTGTTGACAAACGCGATTATATCCGCCTACATCGTGTTGTTCATGAAGCCGTGAAAACATTTTTTTATTTGAAGAAAACTGAGAATGATGATAATTCAAGAAATTTAATATGTACCATTAAAACATTGAATTTTTTCGGCGAGAGGGAAGATAAAATCAAATTAATTTCGCATCTAAAAGCATTTCACAAAAGGATTAATGATACTACGCTTTTTCCTGATGAAACGCTATTCGCAATAATAAGCTTGAATTTTGAAAACATTTGTCGAATGTATACGTTTTTTGGGAATACCCTTTTTCGCTTCTCTGAGTTCGAACTGTCAATGCAATTTCATCAACTGACACTGAAAATTTGTTTAGAACGATTAGGGCCGAATCATACTGATGTTGCTACCTCATACAGCGCATTGGGTGATGTGTGTTATAAGAAAGGTGATCTGGAACATGCTAATGATTATTATCAACGGGCATTGAAAATTGATTTAGAACTATCAGGGGCGAACCATACTGACGTTGCTACTTCATACAGCAAATTGGGTGATGTGTGTTATAAGAAAGGTGATCTGGAACATGCTAATGATTATTATCAACGGGCATTGAAAATTGATTTAGAACTATCAGGGGCGAACCATACTCACGTTGCTACTTCATACAGCAAATTGGGTGATGTGTGTTACAAGAAAGGTGATCTGGAACATGCTAATGATTATTATCAACAGGCATTGAAAATCTATTTAGAACGACTAGGGCCGAACCATACGGACGTTGCTACTTCATACGGCAAATTGGGTGATGTTTGCTTTAAGAAAGGTGATTTGGAACATGCTCATGATTATTATCAACGGGCGCTGGTAATACGTTTAGAACGATTAGGACCAAACCATACTGACGTTGCTACTTCATACAGCAAATTGGGTGATGTTTGCTATAAGAAAGGTGATCTGGAACATGCTAATGAATATTATCAACGGGCATTGAAAATTGATTTAGAACGATTAGGGGTGAACCATACTGACGTTGCTACTTCATACAGCCAATTGGGTGATGTGTGTTACAAGAAAGATAATCTGGAACAAGCTAATGATTATTATCAACGGGCGCTGGTTATACGTTTAGAACGATTAGGACCGAACCATATTGACGTTGCTACTTCATACAGCAAATTGGGTGATGTGTGTTACAAGAAAGGTGATCTGGAACATGCTAATGATTATTATCAACAGGCGCTGGAAATTTATTTAGAACGATTAGGACCGAACCATACTGACGTTGCTATTTCATACAGCAAATTGGGTGATGTTTGCTATAAGAAAGGTGATCTGGAACATGCTAATGATTATTATCAACGAGCATTGAAAATTGATTTAGAACGTTTAGGGGCGAACCATACTGATGTTGCTAATTCATACAGCAAATTGGGTGATGTGTGTTATAAGAAGGGTCATCTTGGACATGCTAATGATTATTATCAACGGGCGCTGGAAATTAATTTAGAACGAATAGGTCCGAACCATATTGATGTTGCTACTTCATACGGCAAATTGGGCGATGTTTGCCGTAAGAAAGGTGATCTGGAACATGCTAATGATTATTATCAACAGGCGCTGGTAATACATTTAGAACGATTAGGGCCGAACCATACTGACGTTGCTACTTCATACAGCAAATTGGGTGATGTTTGCTATAAGAAAGGGGGTATGTGGAACATGCTAATGATCATTATCAAAGGGCGCTGGTAATACGTTTAGAACGACTAGGGCCGAACCATACGGACGTTGCTACTTCATACGGCAAATTGGGTGATATTTGCTGTAAGAAAGGTGATTTGGAACATGCTAATGATTATTATCAAAGGGCGCTGGTAATACGTTTAGAACGACTAGGGCCGAACCATACTGACGTTGCTACTTCATACGGCAAATTGGGTGATGTCTGTTTTAAGAAAGGTGATCTGGAACATGCTAATGATTATTATCAACGGGCATTGAAAATCTATTTAGAACGATTAGGGCCGAACCATACTGACGTTGCTACTTTATACGGCAAATTGGGTGATGTTTGCTGTAAGAAAATTCATTTACAGTCGAACCTGTGTTAAGCGGTCACCCTCGGGGATTTCGCAAGTGACCGCTGAATACAGGTTGACCGCTTAATACAGGTCTTGTAGAAAATCACTGCGCGGCTTAAATATAATATTCATTATAACTAAATTTGGAATCAACAGTAATACATTTCATTACACATACCAAGTAACCAATTAAAAAGTATATAAAACTTTTAATTGTTTCTGAGTTTAGTCTAGAAATTAGAGACTACGTGTACTGTACAATAAAAATGTCAAAGCTTAAACCGCTGAAAAATAGTCATGAATTTTTGTTTGTTGTTGCGGACTGCTCAGTTTAATTTGACTCAACAAGTTATTCACCCTTGACATAGCAAGCGAAAGCTCTTGGTGCCCGTTAAATTGAGCAAATTTTCGCAATTCATCACCGAATTCCATCGCTTCTCGCACTGTTTTAATTGATGACTGTGCACTTTCCATGTCATACTCTGCATCCTGTTCTCCCGTTGGTAGTTCTTTGTCTTCTAAGATTGACAATTCGTCCTCTATGTCGTGATGAAGCAGTTCGTCACGCAGATCATTCCTCCAGTTTGGATTGGAACTCTCAACTAAACCCGAGCAAACTTCAATGTCCTCTTCCGCTGCAATAAATTCACTTGCAGTTAGCTGTACGTCGAATCTGTCGATAAGATTTTGCAGATCATACAGCTCTTCACCTTCAAATGGATCGTCTTCTACAACTGAGTCTTGTGGATATATCCCTGTGCTCTGAAAGCACTTTTTGATGGTGCTGTTGGAAACCTCGCCCCATGCTTGTCTCCCCCATTCAATGGACATGAGAACATTAATCGACTTAACAATTTCTGATGCGTTAATCGATCCATCTGCACTGGAGCATACGTATCGGAGGAGTCGCTTTTTGTACTTTACCTTCCAGTTTGCAATTATCCCAGCGTCCAAAGGTTGCGTCTTGGATGTTGTATTTTTCGGCAAAAAATACAATTTTGAAGTTGGGAAACTTCCCTTCAAGACATGGAGGATGACATGGCGCGTTATCCATAAACAAATAATGTTTCTCTTCTCCCTGATCAAGCGTTTGTTCAACTTCGATAGAACAGAGTTCATCCAAGCTTTCTGGTTTGAGAAATAGTGGCACTTATACGGACGTTTGACATCTTTCAGTTTCTTGAAACACCTAGGCTTTGCAGACTTTCCAATCACGATAGGGTCTTTCTTTTCCCCAGCAGCATTCACAAAAAAGGCCCACGTATTCCGTTGTTTTGCTTTTTTCCCACCGCCAAAAGGCCTCAGTCTCGTCCATGTTCCAAATGTTTTCAGGTTTCCATCCTCTTGTAATTTCTCTTGCTCTTTCACACCAACTTTCAACAGTTTCCGTTCTAACGTCAGCTTCTTCTCCGGCCACTGACATATTGCAAATCCCGTGCTGTTTCTTGAATGACTCTAACCAGCCGTTCGACGCAGAAAACCCAATGATTCCTAATTTTTCAGCAATTAGGAGAGCTTCTTCTTGAAGCATCGGTCCCGAAATAGGTATGTTCGAGTTTCTGCACATCAAATACCAGTCCCATAACGCTTCGTTCACATTGGTGTATTTTCCGACACGGATTCTTTTTTGTTGAACTGGACTGATGTTGTTTTCATACGAGGCGATTATAACATCTTTATTTTGAATAATTTTTTGTGCTTGCGTTCTGCCTATTTCAAAGTGCTCGGCTATTTTTCTGTATCCACTGCCCGGATTGTCCTTCGAATAGCGAACCACTTCCATTCTTTGTTGAAGGGTTAAACACTTGCGCTTTTTCTGTGCCTGCGGTTTCGATGCTTGGGACTTATGTTTCATAGTTGTGTCGGGTTTCAAGTCTACATTTTCTTTTCGTTTGCTGCCGACAACTCCTCTACTTTCTTCACAAGGTATACATATGCCAACTGCTACACCAGCCTTCCATCCCGGTAATTCTTCGGATGCAGCAATCGAACAGTTAGTTGAGCGATTGCAGGTCGGTTTTTGACAAAGTAAGCATCGATATTTTGTTTCTTCCGAGCAACTTTGACAAAGCGCCATAGCAGTGCTTATGACATCGTCAGAAAAACATTTTATCGAGCCAGATTTTGTCTGGCCAAACATGAACTAAGGAAGTGCAGTGAAATTTGACACGCAATTTTGGCAATCTACCAGCTCGTTCATTTTTACCAAAACTATACTGACATTCTGGTTATAAACATGCATGCTGCAGAATCTGAGACTAAAGTAAATTACGCCACGAATTACACAAAACGGAATAGAGCAACACTTCGAGTTAGTTCATTTATCCGGGGAAATCATGCGTACATGGACGACTGGGAACCAAAACTCGATGAGGAATATCCACTTAAACGTGAACCAGACAACAAGAAAGATGAAAACGCTGTTGCAATCGTAAGAAAAAAAGGAGTTAATAATACCGCAGACCTAGAGGATACTATTTCTCAAGTTGACTATGGCTGACAAAGTTTTTAAAACGGCAGACAAACTCTGGCAAAGTAATCATCAAAGGAAAGCGTGTCAACAGAGGAGGTGGTTATGGCTTGGAAATGGACGACTTGCGCTTTAGACTAACTTTTGATGGAAGTAACTACAGGAAAATAAATCACCCCAGCCAGAAAGATCTTACTTAAATTAGTAAAACTGCCAAGTTTGGCTGCGAAATTTTGTAAAATACGGAAAATATAGCCATGCGAAGTTAGCAAATTTTGTATACTTTTGTATTACGGCCAGAAATGTGTAACTAATTTAGTTACAAACTTCCGGTCGTAATACAAAAGTATACAAAAATCGACAACTTTGCATGGCTATATTTCCCGTATTTTACAAAATTTGGCTGTCAAACTTGGCAGTATAACTAATTTTAGTAAGCTCTTTCAGAAAATTTTTTTATTGCCAAGGTAAGAAATTAGTCTAAAGCGCAAGTCGTCCATTCCGTGCGAGTATCACTTTCATGGAGATACATTTTCGTGTCAGTGGCTGAAAGGAAAGCTGACACAAGAAAAATTTAAATTGCTTGAATAATACGTTCACACGAACTGAAAATACTGTTGACACTTTCAGTGATTACGGAAGTTCGAGTAATGAGATAAACAAAACTTATCGACTTTGACATATTGCCGAATAAAGATTTAATTACATATTGTATTATGTTTACTGTAGTTACATCCCACTGACCGTTTAATACAGTTTGAAAACAATAAAAAATTAAGTTTGGGACCGTGGAAAAGGTGACCGCGTCCGCTTAATAGAGGTGACCGTTCAATAAAGGTCACTTAAATAGTATTTATATTATGAAATTTTCGGGACTTTGTCACATGACCGCTTAACAAAGGGTGACCGCTTAATGCGGTGCCGCTTAATACAGGTTCGACTGTAGAACGACTAGGACCGAATCATACTGATGTTGCTACCTCGTACAGCAACGTAGGTGCTGTGTGTTACACAAAGGGTGATCTGGAACATGCTAATGATTATTATCAACGGGCGCTGGTAATTCGTTTAGAACGGTTAGGACCTAACCATACTGATATTGCTACTTTATACAACAAATTGGGTGATGCTTGCCGTAAGAAAGGTGATCTGGAGCACGGTAATGATTATTATCAAGGAGCGCTGGAAATTCGTTTGGAACGAATACCACCAAACCATACTGATGTTGCTACATTACACAGCAAATTGGGTGCCCTGTGTTATAAGAAAGGTGATTTGGAACATGCTAATGATCGTTATCAACGGGCGCTGGTAATTCGTTTAGAACGATTAGGACCGAACCATGACGTTGAACCAAACCACGACGATGTTGCTACTTCATACAACAACCTAGGTAATGTTTGCCGTAAAAAAGGTGATCTGTAACATGCTAATGATTATTATCAAAGGGCGCTGGTAATACGTTTAGAACGACTTACGATTAAGACGGAGCCACACTGACGTTGCTAGAAAACATTAGTAATGCCTTTAGCCTTGTTTACACTACACTCAATTTATTAGCACGGCACGGCTAAAATTGGTACCCGTGCCGATTTTATCAGTGCTCGATTTCATCAGTGGTCGGCCTTTGTTTTGGTAGCCTGAACACTAATAAAATTTGGTACTGGTACGAATTTTAGCCGTGTCGTGGCAATTAATCGAGTGTAGTGAAATGGGGCTTTAGAGACCATTATTATTCAGTTCCGACTTTGGATAATCAGGTAAAGCACGAAGTTATGACAATGTCGTAGACATGGCTTAACTCTACGGTAGCTAATGCTGATATTAACCTTGAAGGTTACAAAATATTAAGACTCGACAGGCTTGGAAACGTGGTGGCGGTGTCTCTGCATACTACCGAAATAATTTGAACGTTTGCAATTTAAAAGAATGGTCTGGCATTTCTAGTTCAGGATTTCATCAATTAAAGAAAGGGGTGAAGATTCAAAAAAGCAGCTTAGATCACAGTTAATAGAATATACATGGTTTGCAGACCACATAAGACTACAATAGAGCTCATTAACTATGTTGAGGTAGATTTATGCAAAAAATTGTTCCTTTCTCATCACGTGCCTATTGTATTTTACACAGAATAACCAATAGCAATCTTATAATTGAAGTGCATGTGACATGATTACCATTTTTTCACCAAAAATTTGAAAAAATCAGGCGATTTGAGTGATATATGTACATATCATTCCCCGGTCGGATAAATACCTCTAAGATATTTTGGATCAAACATGCCAAAATTGGGTTTTTTCAATAGTTGGCCGGGAAAAAGAGTCTGAAAACTAATTAGGGTTTGACGTCTTACCGGGCAGGCAAGAAACTCAACTTTACAAAATTTGTATACTTGTTGTGTCGTATACGGTTCTTCCAAAACACCATATGCAAAATCAAATGTATAATGGAGATTTGTGCCTAGAGGTGGTAAGGAGACGAAAGAAATGGATAGACATTATTGAATTCAAGCGCGCTGGATGGGAGCCACCACGTAGAAGCCATGTTTGCTCCAAGCATTTTAAGTCTGATGACGTTTTGGGAATTTGTGTGGTTTAGAACAACGCACATACCCTGGACTGAAGAGAGACGAAATTAGGGTTACCCCTTGTCCCACGATACAAATTGCGGTTGAAAAACAGATGAACTTCTCTGCGAGATCTGCAAGGGTGATTCGATGCAAAGTGGGAATGTAACAGTTTGTCATGCTTTAGACTTATTTATTGAGAAATTATGTCGGTAATTCATTAGAGTTGGACATTCTAAATGCCCTTTTAGATTATGAGAGAAAGCACATCCCATAGTGAGGAATCAGAACCATCTGTTACACCAGATTGGGACACTGCTGCAATCAGCAAATTGTTTATAAGACATAGTGATATTGTTTACAATGCTATATAGCCTTGGGTTGTTTCCATGAACAGTGGTTCTCATATCAGAGGAATACGTAGAAGTTGTTCAAAAATGAGGCCACTGGGAGTCTGGGACAATGTGTTACCAGACTTGTGTAGGGCAAATTGGGAAAATTAAGAATACATTACCATTTTGTGTCCATAGTTTTGATGTCTTACATAAATAAACGTTACATGTTGGTGTTTTATTAATATTTATTTATAATGTTACATGTTTATTGATATATAATAATTATATAATGTTATAATAATGTTACATGTTGGGGATTCTTATATATATTTGAATATCTATTTCAACAAAGAGTAATAGACCTTACTGCTTTAACACTTTTTGTTCCAGTGCCTCATTTTTGGACAACTTCTATGTATTCATATGAGAACCAGTGTTATGAAAACAACCCCAATTAAGGCTATAAAGCAATGTAAACTATGTCTTACAAACAATGTTTACTTAAAAAAAATGTTAAAAAGAATGAGCAGTAAGATCAGGTGTTTTTACATCTCAAATTAAAATAAGAAAAATTAACCTATAAATTTTCGCAGTTATTTTGTTCCGTGGGCAATTTGCAACAAACATATGCCCTTTCATAGGTTGTTAATTTATTTGAAATCCCTTGCAACGTGGTTTTGCTCTTTGCCCCAGTGTCTTAATCTATCACAACAGATGGTTCTGATTCCTCACCATGGGATGCGCTTTCTCTCATAATCTAAAAGGGCATTTAGAATGTCCAACTCTAATGAATTACCGACATAATTTCTCGATAAATAAGTCTAAAGCATGAGAAACTGCAACATCCCCACTTTGCATCGAGTCGTTCTTTCAGATCTCGCATATAAGTCCATCTGTTTTTCGACCGCAATTTGTATCGTTGTATAAAGGTTAACCCCAATTTCGTCTCTCTTCAGTAGAGGGAATGTTCCATGCAAATTCCCAAAAAGTCATTAGACTTAAAATGCTTGGAGCAAACATGTCTTTCACGTGGTGGCTCCCATTCAGCGCGCTTGAATTTAGCGTCTATCCTGTCGCATACTACTTATATTTATTGTAATGTGACACTAATCGATTTTCTTATCTGCCCGATATAACGTCAAAATTCTAAAAGACTCGTTTTTACAGGCCAACTATTGAAAAAACCCATCCAAAATATCTTTATATATAGCAGTATTTATCCGACCGGGGAATGATACATATCATTCGAATTGCCTGATTTTTGCAAATTTTTGGTAAAAAAATGGATAATCATGTCATATGCATTTTAACATATTTTTCAAGTCAAGGTTGAGGAGCTTAGCAAGACGAATGCCATTGGTACGTTTGGCTAAAATGCAATAGACACGTGACGAGAAAGGAACCATTTTTTGCATAAACCTGGACAATAACATAGTTAATAGCTGTATTGCACTTTTGTTTAGTCTCCAAACCATGTACAGTACTGTGCAAAAGTTTTAGGCCCCCAGTCAAATTGTCACTTGTTAGTAAAATTCATGGTATTGCAAGACATGCTAGGTAGAAAGACTTATAGTGGTCTTGCACTTGGTACAGCCACCATGAGAGACCATTATTGCGGCATAATGCCCAGTCATTGACCTAACAAGCTTGTTTGATCAACAGCCTCACGTGATACGAAAATGGTCTCTTTGATTCTTCCAAATGTC